AGTGAAGATATGGTAATTGCATCGATCGCCACCAAAGACTATGCAGTTAACCTCATCGACAATGCTGTTCGATCTCTACCAGTAACGTTTGCAGAAATCCAGCGAACTACAAGCACCGATGCCACCTTACGACGTGCTACACAGTATGTATCCAGTAATTGGCCAAAGATTAAATATAGCGGAGACCTAAAACACCTGTTCGCCCGTCGTGATTCTTTATGTGTTGTAAAAGACCGCTTGATGTTTGGAGAACGCGTAGTGATACCTGAAGCATTACGAAATAAACTCCTGAAACAGTTTCGCATGGGACATCCTGGTATTCAGCGGATGAAGTCTATCGCTCGCAGTTACGCATACTAGCCTAATATGGATAAGCATATTATCGATTTTGTTCAGCAATGTTCAAAATGTCAACAATCAGCAAAACTACCCCACCAGCTACCTCCCGTACCGTGGCCACCAGCAGCCCATCCTTGGTCCAGAATTCATATTGATTTTGCTGGCCCTACAAATGGTGCATATTATTTAGTGGTGGTAGACGCTTTTTCTAAGTGGTCAGAAGTTATACCTGTGGTTTCGCCGACAACGTCCCAGACTCTCAAAGCTCTCTCTCTCCCATCATGGTCTCCCAGAAATAATAGTCACAGACAATGGTTCGCAGTTTACCTCTCATCAGTTTCAGCAATTGTTAATTCCTTTCCTACTTGTTCATTCTCAATCTTTCCTTTGTTCAACATTAGACTACTTGCCATTAGTAAGTAGTATGATTTTAATATGTTAATTTATAACGATGACATTTGCTTACAACTGCAGTTAAATTACTTGTTCTATTATCATTCTATTAATGTATAGTTCTTATTTTTCTTCTCCTTAAACATTATTTGCTGCATTTACCCTATAGTGTATGCTTTACTATTGAAAGTTGTTTGTTCATATTTGTTTATTCTTTGCTTGGCATTCGCGGGCCGTTTGAACCGACGCGTGGATCGACCTTGACACAGCATTGCTGTTTTTACTTATTGACTGCACAGTGGTTGTGCATTTGACGGCATTTAGCCACAGACACCTCACATTTTGAGGTTTGTATATTATATATCTATTTTTATGTAATAAAGTACCGTATTGCAGAATATCCTGTATTTTGGACTTTACGCGTCACTCTACGTGTGGTTAAATCTATAGTTTGGATTATCGTTTCGGATTTCTTTCGGGAGAAATTCACAGTACTCAAAATTGGTCTTGTTGATCTATTTGGACGATTATCAATGCCGGTTACTCGTAATATGTAAAAAAAACTGGAAAACGCTGAAGAATATCTTCGAGTCAATTTATCTTCACCGCAAGTTTCTTCTTTACCTGTTTCCTTATCTGTTTCTGATAATTTTAAACACACCCCTCATGTCAGCCCAGGTTTTGATAATATTGCTATGAGAGGTAGTGTAGTAGTAGACTCCGATGTTGATTCGGATGTGGCTACCGAATTAGAGATCCTAGAGCTTAAGGTTCAAGAGCTTAGACTTCGCAGCAAACAACGAAAATTGAAGAGCGAGCGCTCTCAACAAGTCAAGACTGCAGCCAGCTGCGTTCGATCTTGCGCCAATCCCTCGGAAAGCCAACTCCTAGACGGTAGCACCATGTATTGTACAGCACAACCATCAGGGTCAAATTGTACTGCTACTCCAGTCCAACCACTCCTGAACTCATTTAGCCCCATTAGAATGCCTCAAATTGAGATGGATAAGTTCGATGGTACACCGACTAAGTTCTTGAAGTTTATAAGATGCTTTAACATGTTCATAGGAGAACAAACTAATGATGACAACCTACGGTTAATGCATCTTATACACAATTGTGTTGGTATAGCCAAGGAGGCCATAGAGCATTGCATTCTACTGCCCTCTGAGGTAGGCTATAGGAAAGCCATGGGGATTTTACGAAGTCAATTTGGCCAACCTCATGCAGTTTCAGATGCCTTCCTCTCCGAATTACTGTCAGGCCCACAGCTGCAACCTGAAGATATAGTTGGGCTACAACGGTTGTTGAGACAGATGACCAATTGTGAGATAGCCTTATCTCAGATGAATCACATGGCAGACTTGGACTGCTCTACCAACCTTAAGTGCATTGTTCAACGTCTCCCTCGGCACCTACGATGGAAGTGGGCAGAATTGGTAAACGATGGTTTACAGTTTGCTGAACCTAGCTTTCGTTACCTCAAAGAATTCCTCGAAAGGCAACTGTCCTTGGCTACAAGCTGTTACGGCCAGATAGCTAATGGGAATAGGAACAACAACGAAGTAGGGTCCAACGATAAAATGTCCAGAGCTATGCCTTCGCACAGTGTTAATGTCGTGAAGTCACGAGCCCAGAAGTCGTGCATAGTTTGCTTCACAGATCACGACTTATGGGACTGTCAACGCTTTTTGTCGATGAGTCACAAAGAGAGACTAGCAGTGTCAATGCGGCATAAGGTGTGCTTCAACTGTTTGAAATGTAATCACCGAGCTGACACTTGTCGTGCAGCAAGAGGTTGCGATATAGTAGGATGCACTAGACGTCATCATAAACTTCTACACAATGAAGATAATTCAGCATGCAAGACTGTCAACTACTCTAGCACGGAATCCGGAACTTCCTTTTTAGGATATGTGCCGATTCGTATCTTAGGTCCTAAAGGATTTCTAGATACCTATGCCTTTCTTGACAATGGTTCAGATGCTACACTACTGCTGAGTCATGTTGCCGCCAAATAGGACTGGAAGGGGTTAATACATTGATGCAGGTAACATCTTTCTGTGGAACTACTTCTCAGAATTCATCTAAGGTTGATTTCGAAGTTGAATCCTTAACGGGAGATTACAAGACGAGGGTCAAGAGTGCCTACACCGTGGAAAGCTTACCTGTAAAGAGACCTAAGACTCCTTCAAACGAACAGGTGAAAAAATGGCCTCACCTGGCAGAAATTCCCTTTCTAGACGTCGAATGTAAACAGGTCAGTCTACTAATTGGGACTAATGTACCTGAAGCACACTGGGTGCTGGAGCAGCGTATAGGGAAATCCAACCAACCGTTTGCATCTTTGTCAGTTTTTGGTTGGTATTTATTGGGTTCAGGAGACGAATATAAAGAAGCAACCTCTATCTTCTGCTTAGAGGAAAGTGAATCAGTAGAGAACAAGCCTTTGCGAATGATTGAAGCTGAATTTCAGGACAAGCACTCATGCGAAAGGTCCAGTTCTGAAATAGATAAAGGGGTTCTGAAGGCAACCGATAGGGAGATAAGATTGCGGAACGGACATTATGAAGTTCCATTGACTTGGAAAGAGGACTGGCGTAGATTACCGCCTAATAAGTTTGAGGCAGAACGCAGGCTGGACAGTCTTCAGAAGAGACTAAAAAAGGACGAAAGCCTATTGAAGTCCTACAATCAAATACTAACAGACCATGAGTTGAAGGGTTATATTAGTCGCGTTCCTGACGACTTCTCCAAGAAACGTAGAGTTATCCCTCACCACCCAGTTATGAATCCCCGCAAGCCTGGTAAAATTAGAGTGGTTTTCGATTGTGCCTTTAAATGTAAGGGAATATCCTTGAACGATTGTCCGTATTCGGGACCTGATCTGATGAATGACTTGGCTGGGGTACTATTGAGATTTAAAAAACATCGGATAGCCTTGTCAGCAGATATTGAGGAGATGTTTCTTCAGGTTCACTTACCTGTCAAGGATAAAAGTGCCTTTAGTTTCTTATGGTATTCTGAGGGTAGACTGGACTTACCACCGAGCCTGTATGAATTAAACGTACATCCCTTCGGTGCTACCTCATCACCTTTTTGTGCAGCCTATGCTTTAAAACGAGGCACAAGACGATGGAAACAAGGGCAACTCCTCGCTGATACGTTTTGGAGACGGTGGAAGCGGGAGTACTTGACGACCTTACAATCGCGTTCGACGACATCGAAACTTACAAGTGGGAGACCTAGTACTAGTGGCTGCGGAGCCTTCACCTCGCAATCGTTGGTCAATGGGAATAATTACAGGTGTTACGGCAAGCTGTGATGGGTATATCAGAAAAGTGGATATCAAGACACCGAGGGGTATAGTCAACCGAGATGTGCGTAAGGTTTGCCTATTAGAAGGTATTAAGGAGAGATAAGCACTTTGTAGGATATATAGCTGGATAGTGGATGCAGATGTGGCGAGAGTAAATTGTACCATTTCTGTGTCTTACTAGCAGATAGAGTAGGGAAAACCAGGCTGGTTTTGAGGGGGCGGTGTTAATTCCTTTCCTACTTGTTCATTCTCAATCTTTCCTTTGTTCAACATTAGACTACTTGCCATTAGTAAGTAGTATGATTTTATATGTTAATTTATAACGATGACATTTGCTTACAACTGCAGTTAAATTACTTGTTCTATTATCATTCTATTAATGTATAGTTCTTATTTTTCTTCTCCTTAAACATTATTTGCTGCATTTACCCTATAGTGTATGCTTTACTATTGAAAGTTGTTTGTTCATATTTGTTTATTCTTTGCTTGGCATTCGCGGGCCGTTTGAACCGACGCGTGGATCGACCTTGACACAGCATTGCTGTTTTTACTTATTGACTGCACAGTGGTTGTGCATTTGACGGCATTTAGCCACAGACACCTCACATTTTGAGGTTTGTATATTATATATCTATTTTTATGTAATAAAGTACCGTATTGCAGAATATCCTGTATTTTGGACTTTACGCGTCACTCTACGTGTGGTTAAATCCATAGATTGGACTATCGTTTCGGATTTCTTTCGGGAGAAATTCACAGCAGTTCTGTCGTCAAAATGCTATCGAGCATATGTTCACTCCGCCGTATCATCCTCAGTTAAACGGCCAAGCGGAACGTTTTGTCGACACTTTGAAGAGAGCTTTACTCAAAGCAGAGGGAGAGGGGGACGCCATTTGACATCATCCCAAAATTCTTGATGGTGTATCGTACAACGGCGAATGAGTCAACACAGAACAAGAAATCGCCGGCAGAAATTCCTTACGGACGCAAACTTAGAACGATTCACAACTCAATGTTACCGCCGACACCCAAACGTGCCGACGCATAATTTCGGAATGAAAAAATTTGATGTTGGTGACCCTATTTATGTCCGCAACTATCGAGCAGGATATAAACCCTGGAATAAAGGTTCCATCGCAGCACGACGTGGTCGAGTTATGTACGACGTGAAAGTTGGTAATGATTTATGGACCCGTCACTACAATCAGTTGCGTCCAAGAAACTCAAATATCCCTACCAGCACACAGTCATCTCTACCTCTGGTTATACTCTTAGATAATTTTAACTTACCTACGACTGACAAAACAGAAAAGCAAAATTGCGCAGCTCAGACAACTCCAGACAGAGCAGAAGCCGCAAATTCAACAAGTAGACGAAGCAACAGACGTCGACAACAAACTGAACGGTTTCAGATAAACCCCAGGTAAGCACGCTATTAATCATCAATCTTCTCAAAAGGGGAGGTGATATGTATCCACGTAATATATGTGTTTGTTTTTGACAGTCTGTTATATTTTGCTATGTATATATGGATCGATATTCCATTATAATTGACAATATGTTTTTGTCCGTCCACTAACTAACAAACATGTCTAACCTTGTTGTCACATGACATTACAACCAATCATGTTAAGACTGTCTATTGATTCGTTCATTTTTGAACATTCGCTCATACACTTGTGTGACATTGATTTTCCTTGTTTGAAAATAAATACAAGTATCATCGTGAACCTGGTGGTTTTCTGATTTCGGCATTCTTGCGTCAGGACTATTAATTACTCGACCAGTACATAACAGCACCCACCGGGATTCGAACCCAGGACCTTCTGTTTACAAGGCGAGCTCGTGTACCATTAAGCCACTGGGACCCAATCCAATGGCCGGTCCATGAATTCTATCTTTTGCCAATTCACGATATAGCGCAAACGCTAGCCGATGTCTTCGGCGAGTATTTGTCCTCACACCCGACCTGCTGCATCCTACTGGTCACGACTTCCCGCTGGAACCCCCGGGTAACCACCTACCTGAATAGGGCCAGTCGCCAGAAGGTCCTGGGTTCGAATCACGGTGGGTGCGTACTGCCGGGGAGTCACAAACCAGGACGAAACAGCTGCCCAGTACTCTCCCAGGTTTACCAATGGTTCTCTAACTGATGTCAGCTCATGATGAAATTCTGTAGCCAATGAACCAAATCCCTCAAACCAATACTTGAAGTCTTTTTGAATTGAATTTTAGATTTCCCCGTCGACTGATTGAACCAAAGGACCCAGTCTCAGGTTGACATATAGACTTCTTGTGCATATGCTTCGACGATGTCTGGGCATGTAATTAGAAGCCGACATGTCAACCTGAGACCGACCACTCCGGTCCATCCGATCGATCGACAGGAAAATCTAAAATTCAATTATATAATTCATATGACCCGTTACACAAGAGAAGGCTCTCGTGTCCCAAGTGGTCTAGTGGATAACGCTTTGGCGTTTGAAACTATGGGCAATGGGTTCGAGCCTCGGTGGGAATATCATCACTCACTGGGGAATGGAGATACATCCAACTGATGAGTCCCAAATAGGACAAAATGCGCATCCTGGATGCCACTGCTAGTCACCATCCACCAGTTAAATATCTATAATTTTTTTTGATATACTAATACCACTTACACTTTCATCATCATCATCATCATCATCATCATCACAGTGCAGAGTAAGCAAATGACAGTGAATAAATTTAACTTCGTTCACCTTCTTCCCCCCTCCCCCTCCTCAATGTGTTTCTTTCTCTCTCTCTCTCTCTAATGAATGAATACAATAAGAGGCTAGTATTAAGCTAAATCTGTTCTAAAAATAATAATAAATATTCCAACCACGTGATTCACGTTCCGTTGACCCGCTGATTTTAAATCTTCCTCATCTCTCAGTGTATGCCTGTGTGTGTGTGTGTGTATGTGTGTGTTCACTGGTTGTTGCGTGATAATGACCAGTTATCGTATATGCTCAATATACAAGTATTCCAAATACTCAGCCAATAAACAATTTTATCCCTTATAATTCTCTAGGCTTACATTATTAATTCTCATCGAACCAGACTTTTTTTCACTGGCCCGTGGCAATTTGTAAAGTCCTGTCCATACAAAAATCATCGTTGCAGCAAGTGCAAAATCATCGGTCATAAAAATGGTTTTTGTCAGCCACGCAAACACAGATGTCACAATCCAGCGAAAGCTTGACCAACTGTCGGTCCTAAATCCCCAAAAAGGTCAATGAGTCTACTAGCAACCTGTCAAGTCACAACACCAGGTATGCGGAAATATCTTGATCTTCAGATGAATGGTCATGATGCACGTCTGCAGCTAGATACCGCCTCTGATATTACTGTTATATCAGAGAAACTTTGCAATGATATTGGCAGACCACCAACCGCAAATACTTCTCAGACTGCTGTCAGCGCCTGTGGTGGGCGGCTCAAACTAATTGGTGAACTCGAATGTTCTGTTTCCTTCCGCAATATCAAATTCACAGGAATTTGTTACGTCACCAAGAGTGATTTAAATCTTTTGGGACTTGATTGGTTCGATCGTTTACATCTGGCTGATGTCCCACTTAGTTCTGTATGCAACGCAGTCAACAAGGATAAAAATTCAGCCAAACCCTTTTCTGATTTATGCAAACTATTTGCACCTGTTTTTCAACCCGGATTAGGTCACTGTACCTCGTTGCAAGCTACCTTTCGAGTATTACCAGACGCAAAACCGGTTTTTCTCCCAAAGAGGCCAGTCCCATATGCATCTGTAGCAAAAGTTGACGAAGAATTGGAGAGACTACAACAAAAAGGCGTATTAGCACCAGTCACGTACTCGGCATGGGCAGCACCCATCGTCGTTGTCAAGAAAGCGAATGGGTCCCTACGTATTTGTGCTGATTTCTCTACTGGGTTGAATGCTGCATTAGAACAGCACCACTATCCTTTACCTACGCCGGATGATTTATTCACTGTTTTAAATGGTGGATCTTATTTTGCAAAACTGGATCTTGCTGACGCATATCTACAAGTTGAAGTAGCCCCAGAATGCCGAGAACTCCTTACCATTAATACACATCGCGGTTTGTTCCAATACAACAGATTACCTTTCGGAGTTAAAACTGCCCCAGCTATTTTCCAACAACTGATGGATACTATCTTGGCAGGTATTCCGGGTGTTGCCGTCTATCTTGATGATATCTTGGTGGTAGCGAATTCTATAAACGAACTTTACAGCAGGACAGAAGCTGTCTTGTCACGCATGCAGGATAACGGTCTACGACTACGCTCAGAGAAGTGTCAGTTCTCCTTGAGATCTGTCAAATACCTTGGATTTATATTTGATGCATCGGGTAGACGTCCAGATCCTGACAACATACGTGCTATAAAAGAGATGCCCGCACCTACTGATGTGCCTTCTTTACGCTCTTTCTTGGGATTAATTAGCTATTACTCGGCATTTCTCCCTGCGCTGCATAATGTTCGACATCCTCTCAATCGACTACTCGAAAAGAATGCAACCTGGAAATGGTCCGAAGCTTGCAGATCAGCTTTTGAAAAGTTGAAGTCTATGTTAACTTCTGAATTGCTTCTGACACATTATAGTCCAACACTTCCAATTATAGTTGCAGCGGACGCTTCAGCAAGCGGAGTGGGAGCTGTCATTTTACATGTCTTCCCAGATGGCAATAATGCATGCATCTCGAACACTAACTGCGGCAGAGAAGAAATATGCACAAATTGAAAAAGAAGCCTTAGCTTTAGTTTTCGCCGTACGACGTTTCCATAAAATGATCTACGGCCGCCGATTTACTTTGCTGACAGATCATAAACCGTTACTTTCCATTTTCGGATCTAAATCAGGTATTCCTGTACATGCAGCTAACCGACTACAACGCTGGGCAATAATATTACTTGGATACGATTTCGATATTAAATACAACCGAACTAACGAATTTGGTCAAGCCGACGCTCTATCTCGGTTAATTAGCGACTATCCTGCATCAAGTGAAGATATGGTAATTGCATCGATCGCCACCAAAGACTATGCAGTTAACCTCATCGACAATGCTGTTCGATCTCTACCAGTAACGTTTGCAGAAATCCAGCGAACTACAAGCACCGATGCCACCTTACGACGTGCTACACAGTATGTATCCAGTAATTGGCCAAAGATTAAATATAGTGGAGACCTAAAACACCTGTTTGCCCGTCGTGATTCCTTATGTGTTGTAAAAGATTGCTTGATGTTTGGAGAACGCGTAGTGATACCTGAAGCATTACGAAATAAACTCCTGAAACAGTTTCACATGGGACATCCTGGTATTCAGCGGATGAAGAGTATTGCTCGCAGCTACGCATACTGGCCTAATATGGATAAGCATATTATCGACTTTGTTCAACGATGTTCAAAATGTCAACAATCAGCAAAGCTACCCCACCAGCTACCTCCCGTACCGTGGCCACCAGCAGCCCATCCTTGGTCCAGAATTCATATTGATTTTGCTGGCCCTACAAATGGTGCATATTATTTAGTGGTGGTAGACGCTTTTTCTAAGTGGCCAGAAGTTATACCAATGGTTTCGCCGACAACGTCCCAGACTCTCAAAGCTCTCACTCTCCCATCATGGTCTCCCAGAAACCATAGTTACAGACAATGGTTCGCAGTTTACCTCTCATCAGTTTCAGCAGTTCTGTCGTCAAAATGCTATCGAGCATATGTTCACACCGCCGTATCATCCTCAGTCAAACGGCCAAGCGGAACGTTTTGTCGACACTTTGAAGAGAGCCTTACTCAAAGCAGAGGGAGAGGGGACACCATTTGACATCATCCAAAAATTCTTGATGGTGTACCGTACAACGGCGAATGAGTCAACACAGAACAAGAAATCGCCGGCAGAAATTCTTACGGACGCAAACTTAGAACGATTCACAACTCAATGTTACCACCGACACCCAAACGTGCCGACGCATCATTTCGGAATGAAAAAATTTGATGTTGGTGACCCTATCTATGTCCGCGACTATCGAGCAGGACATAAACCTTGGAATAAAGGTTCCATCGCAGCACGACGTGGTCGAGTTATGTACGACGTGAAAGTTGGTAATGATTTATGGACCCGTCACTACAATCAGTTGCGTCCAAGAAACTCAAATATCCCTACCAGTACACAGTCATCTCTACCTCTGGATATACTCTTGGATACTTTTAACTTACCTACGACTGACAAAACAGAAAAGCAAAATTGCGCAGCTCAGACAACTCCAGACAAAGCAGAAGCCGCAAATTCAACAAGCAGACGAAGCAACAGACGTCGACAACAAACTGAACGGTTTCAGATAAACCCCAGGAAAGCACGCTATTAATCATCAATCTTCTCAAAAGGGGAGGTGATATGTATCCACGTAATATATGTGTTTGTTTTTGACAGTCTGTTATATTTTGCTATGTATATATGGATCGATATTCCATTATAATTGACAATATGTTTTTGTCCGTCCACTAACTAACAAACATGTCTAACCTTGTTGTCACATGACATTACAACCAATCATGTTAAGACTGTCTATTGATTCGTTCATTTTTGAACATTCGCTCATACACTTGTGTGACATTGATTTTCCTTGTTTGAAAATAAATACAAGTATCATCGTGAACCTGGTGGTTTTCTGATTTCGGCATTCTTGCGTCAGGACTATTAATTACTCGACCAGTACATAACAGCACCCACCGGGATTCGAACCCAGGACCTTCTGTTTACAAGGCGAGCTCGTGTACCATTAAGCCACTGGGACCCAATCCAATGGCCGGTCCATGAATTCTATCTTTTGCCAATTCACGATATAGCGCAAACGCTAGCCGATGTCTTCGGCGAGTATTTGTCCTCACACCCGACCTGCTGCATCCTACTGGTCACGACTTCCCGCTGGAACCCCCGGGTAACCGCCTACCTGAATAGGGCCAGTCGCCAGAAGGTCCTGGGTTCGAATCCCGGTGGGTGCGTACTGCCGGGGAGTCACAAACCAGGACGAAACAGCTGCCCAGTACTCTCCCAGGTTTACCAATGGTTCTCTAACTGATGTCAGCTCATGATGAAATTCTGTAGCCAGTGAACCAAATCCCTCAAACCAATACTTGAAGTCTTTTTGAATTGAATTTTAGATTTCCCCGTCGACTGATTGAACCAAAGGACCCAGTCTCAGGTTGACATATAGACTTCTTGTGCATATGCTTCGACGATGTCTGGGCATGTAATTAGAAGCCGACATGTCAACCTGAGACCGACCACTCCGGTCCATCCGATCGATCGACAGGAAAATCTAAAATTCAATTATATAATTCATATGACCCGTTACACAAGAGAAGGCTCTCGTGTCCCAAGTGGTCTAGTGGATAACGCTTTGGCGTTTGAAACTATGGGCAATGGGTTCGAGCCTCGGTGGGAATATCATCACTCACTGGGGAATGGAGATACATCCAACTGATGAGTCCCAAATAGGACAAAATGCGCATCCTGGATGCCACTGCTAGTCACCATCCACCAGTTAAATATCTATAATTTTTTTGATATACTAATACCACTTACACTTTCATCATCATCATCATCATCATCATCACAATGCAGAGTAAGCAAATGACAGTGAATAAATTTAACTTCGTTCACCTTCTTCCCCCCTCCCCCTCCTCAATGTGTTTCTTTCTCTCTCTCTCTCTCTAATGAATGAATACAATAAGAGGCTAGTATTAAGCTAAATCTGTTCTAAAAATAATAATAAATATTCCAACCACGTGATTCACGTTCCGTTGACCCGCTGATTTTAAATCTTCCTCATCTCTCAGTGTATGCCTGTGTGTGTGTGTGTGTGTATGTGTGTGTTCACTGGTTGTTGCGTGATAATGACCAGTTATCGTATATGCTCAATATACAAGTATTCCAAATACTCAGCCAATAAACAATTTTATCCCTTATAATTCTCTAGGCTTACATTATTAATTCTCATCAAATTATACTTTTTCTCACTAGACTTCATTGATTTTTATGTTCACTCAGTGTAGCAAAACGCGGCAAAAAGAAGAGAGAAATGCATTATGTCTGTATTTGGTCTAATTAACGATGGAACTAAAACAAACTCACTGAAATATGCTGGCTTTAACAAACGGTTGTATACCTTTTCGAGTTTCACCACGGATTGGTTGCAGTTAGAGTATCATTTAGTATGAGGGAATACTCGACAGCTGTTACAGCCTACTTTGGGACTCACCAGCAACACGAAACAACTGGGGTGAATTCTTGAAATTTTGATAAGAAAGTTGCAAACCTTGAACAAAAACACTTCAACTACTTCATTTAATGTAGAGGTCTTCTTCCTCTTCTTGTGTTTTTTCTCTTCTGATATGGCTTGACAGACTCTGATGAAGTCAATTTTCCTAAGAACATCAGTGATATGAATATTTCCATTATCTGTCTAATCTCATTCAGATTATTCCAAAATGAATAACTATTTATCAGAAGTTAGTCAGTTCCCCTTATCATCAAATAGTCTCAAGCTAAATCCCTCACAGCTAAATGTCAGCTTGTTCATTTCGCTTTAAGACACAATCAGCATTTACCTGAACTGATTCTTCTACCATGGATGCCGACGAAGGCGAAACTAAGTTGACTGTCAATTACTCTGGTCTATATCTTTATTCTTCTTCTCCTTCTTCTTCTTCTTCTTCTTCTTCTTGTCATCTTTCCCCATCCTTCAACATCATTCCACATCATCTTAATGTAACCTTCTCAGTAAGCCAGTTGAAACAGTCTGGTGTCACTCAACCTCTACTGTTACAGTTCCTTAATTCTTGTATTCCACCTATCCTCCCTTCCTAATCTCCGTAAACCTCTACTGACTTACTCAACTAAGACTTTGTTACACTCGAAACGACACTATTTGTTGTCGTTAGAGTCAGTCGAATGTCAGTTGACTAACTCAATAATACGACTGTAGATGGACACTTGAGCTCTTTCCACAAATTACAGAATATCGTCCTGTGGGATTATCAGCATCCTCTTGATACACACAACTTTCCGCTTCCATCTCATCATGTAGGACTTGAAGCAATTTAATTATAAAGGACTTTACCCTCGAATGACTAAGTATGAAGCTCTGCAATGTCTTAGTTGGCACACATTATTTATGTGATGAGAAGTTACTGTTATTAGCTATGAAACTATGAAACTACCAACTGACTGCAAAACATCAAGTAAATGGCCCACTTCATTCATTCATTCACTCTTTGTTTCATCAATGTATTCTTGTCACTATTCTACTGAAATTGTAATTTGGCATTTATATTCTTAATGACATTACATTACCATCAATGTAAGTGGCCTCCTATACTATGCACTATGAACAGATGATATATTGTTATTACCGGCTGAAAATTTCACATTGTATCAAAAGTGCTGTTTGGAATAAAGCTATTGTGATTGTTATTATTTTCACCCTTAACGAAACGAAATCACTATTTTAATGAAGACTATGAGTTGCGTCTTATAATGCGATGATATAAAGTTTTTTTTTAAAAAAACACTGTGAAACTTACCTCGACTATTCAGTGGATCTATATGTTGTCTAGAGACTGTAGACTTTGGTGATCTGAAACTTGAACCTCGTCTACTTTTCGATGGAGCTTGACTAAATTCACTTTCAATATTCAGTCTTTTATGCTCTTCTAATGGACTTGAAACTTGACGTCGTTTACCACTATGATGACGAGTAGGCGATGTTTTACTCGTGGAAGGCAATGACGATAGGTTATGGGAACATGAAGATTCTTCTGGCTGTGAAGATTGCTGTGATGAGATGAAAAAGAAAAAAGGCGGATTTAAAGAGTAACTTCCTTAAATATATAGTCAGATGTTTCAAAATTAATTCCGTGATAGGTTATTATAAGTAATACAACAAAATTACTGACAATTGAAACTTACACTACAAGAAAATGGATATTCAAAGGACATGTGGATACCTATAGATAGGGTAATGATGGATGCCGCAGATAAGAAGCCTGTCTATCTGAAGTTGAGTTACAAAATGCCAACATTCTCTGTGGCTGAACTGGTATTCACCTTCCCAACTAAAACAGTACTCACACAGCGATTTGAGGATAAATTAGCAATCACGGCCTAATCAATATACGCTTATGAATTGAACTGTTCATATGAATCCAGTTACATTGACCGAATTCGGTGGGTTTCCTCTATTTAACTGTAAGGTTGACTAAAGGAGAAATCAAATGTATAAATAGTGCAGTCTTATCCGATTTAGTATATACTGGATATTCAGTGTAACCAGACCAGGTGTTCTGAATAATCTTCCGTGTTCCTGGCGATTTATCTTCTATCAGTAGATCAGAAAACCTGGTCTCTGTGTATGGAAGAAGTTTACCTTGGCCTACAATAAGGACAAAATATTCTACATAAACATTGGCAATTAAGATTCCTGTCTCATTTCTTTTTTCCTCTGTTTCATTGCTAAACGTTTATTTCATGTCTTTAACGATTTTAAAACTATGCTTATTTTCATGAATAATCCCCATTCAGACATTGGTGAAAATAAAACACGTAATTCACCGGAGAGGATTTTTCAGGGGATTCATTTCTTTTATTTCGTTCACATCTGTTTGCGTATATCAGTGCATTTTTGTTGCTGTGGTGCCAGGTACATTGATATTTCGATGCGTATCCTGTCTAAAGGGGTTCAAGAACACTATCCTGCATGGTTGCAGAAAGGTTGTAATGGCTCCCTGCCAACACCGGTCATACCATCTCCTTAAAAATAATTTACAAAGTGAAGAAAAACCTTCGAAAAGCAATACGTTTACGTCTCCTTTCCATTGCTGAAGCCTCAGTCATGCAGCTAGAATAACCAGAGGTATGCATGCTACGGAAGATTATTCAACCACTTCTAATATTATGGCAACAACATTGTTGCATTCTACTGACTTGATGTTTGTGTTCTTGTTTTCCTCAGTCCTAATAACTCTTGTATTTATTTAGAACTTCATCATCATTACATATTTTGCAAAGTTTCAATGTGCATCCTGATTACCGCTCACTCGTCAAATTATTCCTCTTCCTACGTAACTTATTCAACTACTTTTATAGATTGACTAAAATTGACAATTGTGTTTGTTTGGTTGGAGAATTTCATCATGACGTGAAATTGGTTAGAGAATCATTGGAAAGCCAGTTGAGAGTACTGGACAGCTGTCTTGTCCTGTTTTGTGACTCTTCAGGGATGCGCACCCACCGCCAGGGTTAGAACTCAGGACCCTTCTGGTTACAAGGCGATCTTGCTCGTAGACCATTCATCAGCCACTGGTATCCGATCCAGTGGCTAGCCAACGAATTCTAACTTATGCCAATTCACTGTGTTTGTGACAAGTCATTATTTTGTTACTAGCTTATTTGGTGTGTTAATTCTAGGCTTACATAATGCCTTCCAAACTTGTTGTTATATCTACACAATCCCGCTCATTCCACTTCATTAAATTTTTTTTTTTTTGGTAACAGCTTGATTCCACACTGTATTTTTGGTACAAGTATGGAATTTTCAGCGTGGATATCGGTAGCCCAAATTTCGCAGGCCGACCATAGATATCTGGTGTGCGCCGGTGTGGGCTCGAACCCCGGACCATGTGCATGGTCGTCGAGAGTCCTAACCACTGTGCCACCGATGCACTATTCATTATTATTACCTGATAATCATTCACTAATTTTACTTTTGTACTCCCACCATACAACGTTGTTATTACTTCATTATTATAATTATTATTGTTATTTATTACCCTTGAACTTACATCTAGTCTAAACGATTTGTTGGGTTTATTTTCTCTGTAGTGTTCATATTGTCACCTCACACAAGTGACTACACTCACCTCTGAAAGGTGTACTTTTCTTGGCAATATAAATACACATGCCTCATTGGATTATTTAACCTCATGGTCTAACTGACTATACATATTCTAGATGAGATAATCAAAATTTATAAGACTATTAGTCCATCTTGTACTTGTACCGGACAATACACTCTCTGATATACTTCCAATTCGCTTTTAGTAACTGGCTGTTGTATGCTAAAATTAATGGATTTATAGAAGCTGAAGAGGAGAGAATTTACTGAAAACAATTGTATTCACTCTGATTATTTTTCTTCTGAACACCCTTATCCTCTTAAGTTTCAAGCGCACTAGTAGTATAACAACATATCTCCATTTTATCTTGTTTTTTGCATTCATCTTAGAGTGGATCTACCATTGTCTATAAGCCTTTCATCTCCTCCTAACACGATTTCCTGTTTCACACTGGGGGGCACTACTACTCAACTAGTCGTTTCCAATTTGGGTTCCACCTAAGAATCTACCTGACACATGATATCACTCGACGGTCTCCTTAGTGTCTTGCCAATTCATTTCCATTTTCTGGGCAATAGGTTCTTGGTTGGTGTTTCTTCTCAGAGTGTTACTTGTGACCCTTCCTGTTCATCTGATCTTCATTTAGGAGCTAACGAACTCAACAGTTGATAAAAATCTGAAGCGTTTTGGTGACATATCACAGAATGTTCAGGAAATCAAAAAAAAAAAAAGAGTTTTCTGAACGTTTCACTGTGTAAGCTGAAAACATTTCTCAGCAATGTTTTCAACGCAAATGACAAGAAGGAAAAGAAGAAGATTGAAAAATCTTAGGGGTCAACGATAGTTCTTCAATATCGAAAAGATACAACTGCTTCGTATGGTGTTAAAGTCTATTTGAAATCCTCTTATTCTCTAGAAGCAGCTTAAGTTAATGTCAAAGATATGTTTCCTAAAATGACACAAAACAGACTATGTCTATAGGATGAAATGATCCGCAGCTGAGGCTTTCTATAATAGAGGAAAGCAGTAGAGAGGTGATAGTCTAAATAAATGAATACAGGCTATATACGAAAGATCTACCGAAAAATGAAGTAGAGTTTAAGATTCAAGTGTGTTGGTTTCTAGGGATTCGATATGATTGCTTATAGGATTTTATCATGAGTTGATATCGGTTAGAGAACTATTGGGAAACCAATAGAGAGAGAGTATTGCCAGACAGCTGTTTTGTCCGCCTAGTCTGGAATTATTCGGTAGTACGCCCCTACGCCACTGGCGTCCGAACACATGACCTTCTGGTTACAAGGTAAGCGAGCTCATCCGTGGCAAGTACTTTCCGTCTAAAACCCGACCTGCTGTACCTCACTGGTCTAGAGAAATGATCAGCGCTAGTATAAACAAAGGTGGATCGCTGGAGTGTTGCATACTTTGGCCACAAAGAATGTGTTAAATAGGAAAGAAGTAATAGACATATCATTTATATGGCAGAGGCTAATGAAATATGAAGTATATCAGCCTTATTTTTAAACCTCTATACAATAGCCACGATTTTCACTTATGAATTTACGTGTTCTAAACAAGAACAAGCAACATACACATACACATACAGACAGTTTGGCACTACACATCAAAAATAAATGACGACTAATTATATTTATTCTGTTGGCACAAGTACCTACCGACAAATGACCTTTAATTTATGAAACTTTCGACTACATATTTTGTTTGACAGTTAATTAATTCTGAGTGGTTCTGCTGAAGAAGCAAGCTGTGGTTTACGCACACAGGGATTCATTCAGAAAACATTTTGTTTTGATTTTCTAAATACACTGGTATTATTTTAATTAATTTTACGGTAGTCAAATAATGATGATAATTACTGAGAGAAGTGACCGTTTATGATAGCCATGGCAAAGATGAAGTTTGAAAGCACTTCTATTGAACACATAGTGTTGGATCAAGTTTTCGGATCGATAATGCTTCAGCTATGTTGGGCATGAGGCTAGCAACCCCATCCCGTAAAACAACAAAAAAAACCACTGATACAGAAACTTCAAGTCTCTAGCTTGAATTCCTTTGTTCCACCGGAAACGTAAAGAAAATAAAAAACTGTCACCTCATGATGAAATCCTGACAATGAAAGCGTAACGGTTGTAGTTAATTAGTCGGAGATTAAGTATCAGTAACCTCCGGTTTGCAGTCAAAATGGTAGTAAAATGTGCAAATGTTGTAGAGTGGAAAGTTTTCATAATTCATCACATAGAGTAACTGAGAATAATGTACTCCAGACATTAAAAGTATATCACATAACACTGATCGTAACTATTCAAGAGTGAAGTTAATTTCATTCTCAGAATTGAATCATGATAATATTATTTCCCTGCCTACAACAATCATGGCAGAAATAATTATAAATACTTACTTGGAGTAAAGGAAGATTAAGACTTCTAAAAGAACAGGCACCGAATAATGCTGTTATTGAAACCAAGTAAAATACTAATTCATGTCAACCTAGAGAATATAAAAGATACTTCGAATATGAAATCCCGCCAGCACTTGAAGATGTTCATTCCGAAAAGACAATTCATGCCTTGAACAATTTGAAACTCAATGCATCATCAACATCATCCAAAAAAGCACAGAAAGCACAGTAAAATCCCCACCTCAATTTCAACAACTTCAATATAGGCCTACGACAGCGTTGACCATGAAGTAAATTGGAAACTACACCAAACAATATGGAGTAAAGTGCCATAAGTCGTCATCAAACTCATTAAACAGATGGCTACTACATGGCAATGACAATGTGTCAGCTGATCCACAACACAACATTTTTCCGCAAAGGCACAGAAGTCAACAGAAGAGTAAAACAAAGCCAACAACTATAACCGCATACAATCAGAGAGAATACAGGAATAAACTGCACCGATTTAAAGACTCTAGAAGATCTAGATTTCGCGGGCGATTTACCTTTACTGTCACACTGACTCGAAGATTCACACGAGAATACCAATAAACTGGCAGAAGAGGCAGGCAGAGAACACACGACTCCAAGCGAACACACAAAAGATGCAGAGGTGGTGACGACAAACAATCATTGAACCAATCAGCCAACCAACCAACCAACCAACCAACGAAGCAACTAACCAACCACCGAACAAACAGCAACACCAATCACCATCAACGAGAGAAGTTTGGTAGAGGTCACTTCCTCACTTCACTTAGCTAGGAAGCACTCTCTCAACTACAGAACAACCACACGACACGGATAAAGATGGAGAAGCCAGCCAGACAGAAAGGATAGGAAAGGCGAGGCGAGGCGGAACACCTTCATCACTCTCAAATCAGTTGACAAGCACTTCTCTTCTATACTCATCAGCCCCATAAACAACAATATCCGGATTCTCAACACCAATGTTTAGCCAGTCAATCAATCAATTAGTGATTCTATGTGGGGTGGTCAGGAACGCGGCCAATGTCCGTCACAAAAAGCATTTTCAACACGCCATCACACACTTTCACGAGTTTCTGCCTGTGCTCCATATCGAGCCTCAAGTGGTCAGTCACAAAGTATTAACAACAAGAGACTGTGGGAACCAACTGACCGAGAACCGATCTTCCAGCAAATATGCGGAAGAAGAAGAAAGTCGAGATGGTGGATTGGACACACGCTGGCCGAGGAGACCGTCGAATGATATGGCGTGATAGGCGATTTCTAGAGTGGATGATCAATGGGAAACGACGAGTTCGTCATGTGTCCGAGAATGACATAGACGAGGGGGTGGTGTGGGTTGAGGGGGAGATGAGAGACTATGTGTCATTGTGTGCGTGTGTGTGTGTACGTGTGACCAGTGATAGAGGAGGACGGAGAAGTGGAAAAAGTGGATAGATAGATAGATAGATGGTGGTGAATGCGTATGTCTCAATTGGAACTGAACGGAACAACAACAACAACAATAACTAACAGCATACACCTGTAACTTACTAATTCAATTGTATTAGCAATAACTGAATCACTCAGCTCAGATGACATCAAAGATTCTTGCCTGAGTTTTTCTTCACATCGCTTCAGTTCACATACAAAAGATAGTAAAGATAAAGGACTATCGAAGGGATTAGTGTAGTTCTGGCTTGTACATTGACCAATGTCAGTACTTTCATCGTTCGACTGCAAATTCGTCACATCCACATCCTTTTCATACTCTTCTGATTCATGTTCACTTATTCTGGATTCAGGAGGTGTAGACTGTTCAAGGGAATGGGAAGTTGAGGCTGTTTGACTTTCCTGGATTTCATTAGTCTTCTGTACATTATTTGGACAGGTTATAAATGCATTTTGAAGGTTATTTTGAGTATTTGTCACCGGATTATGCGACGAACATTTACTAGGACTCAAGGCTTCCTTATAACTGGAAGAGGAAGAAGCCGTACTGGTTGTGATTGTAAGAACTGAGGTAGACTCTGAAGTAATACTAATTGTCCTATTTTCTTCAGATTGTCGGAGGCGCATCTTATGTAAAATATATAACTGTAAAACAAAATTACAAAGAGGGTATTCAAATGAATACATTATTAGTTTACAAATATAAATATATATATGGATAAAAGGTATCTCGCCTAGTTTGACAGCCGTTTCCTAAGAGGAAAGGTCGGTTGCGGGGCTAGCAACCATATTCCGGAAAATTAATCACATCAGTAACTTCAATACACAAAAAACATTTTGACAAATAAGCCTATTCTTTGCCGAAATCGAGGAGGCAGAGTGATGCCACGGGTTTTTGAAAGTCTTCGAGAGACCAGTCAGTCATCCAATGTGCTTTTTTCCCAAGATGGCAAAAATAAACACAGTGATATGGAACAGCCACACTGTGTTTCAGAATAACTGGTGAGACTGTTGGGATTGCAGAAGAAGAGAGAAGATATAGTATAGAAGTGAATGGAATTTGTCAGAGCAGATGGAATGAAAGTGAACTCTTCGAATTGTTAACTATATAGTGAACAATCCACTCCAGTCACAAGTTGATAACCTATCAGTATAAAACGCTCTCATGCAATGGGGACCAATTTCCTCAAGGGTCATGTCACTTAGTTCCAACCCAAACAGAAGGAAAGATACAATTATAGAGTGATGTGTACAATGCTACAAATAACGAAGACCAAGCGGAAGAGGAGAATGAAGAGAACGTCTACAGATAACTGTGGGCAGTAATGGTGAAGACTTTAGCCTTGTAACAACATCAAAATTCTAGTGAGTGATGTGAATGCTAAACTGGAAGCTAACAATATAGGAAGAAAACTCACAATGGATAGAGGGGCTCTCGATGAAATTGATGAGAACCACGAAATCATCTCAGACTTCTGCACCTTTAGTGATTTGGTGATTGGAGGAAGCATATACAAGCATAAGGAAATACACTAGGCAGCATGAATTCCACCGAATGGACGTAAGGAAAGCAAGATCGACTTTATCTCATTGTTGATCAGGAAAGTGGAGACGCAACCTGCTGAACACGAAGTCAAGAAGGGGAGCATGTATGTACTCAGATAATTATCTAGTTCAAAGAAACCTTCAAGCCTATAAAGCCGCTGAAGATAGACTACAATGCAAGTTCAATACTCAGAAACTGAAGGAAGAGACTACGAATGACGCCTTCGCTACAACCATCAGAGCGAAAGCTGAAGACATTAAGTAGCATTACTACGGAAACCTGTATAGAAGAATACTAGAAATCTCAGAGGAAGATGCTAAAGAAGAACATTACGGCCGTTTTAGATACAAAGAAGAGGCAACATAAGGAATGGTCCCCTACGGACACGTAGAAACTATAATAATAATAACAATAACAATGCTTTATTTCAGACAATATGTGAACATATAGTACAGAAATTTTCAGCGTACTTAGTACCAAAATATTTCCTCTTTATACAGGATTTACACGTACAGTAAAAATCGGAAGTTTATCATGTGACGAAGCGATGACAAATCTGAAAAGAGAACCAAATGAGTAGATTTTCTCTTCATTTTCTTCAAGAATTCCACATCGTTTTGCTGAAAGCTAATTAAATGTCTTCACGAGTTCATACAGTAATCATCTAGGATAAGTGTGTGATTAAAAAGAGTAAGAAATACACACACTAAGGCTTCAAGCACTTTGATGGATTAAAATTCTGTTAGCATACAGTGATTTAAGCAGGCCACCATCAAAGATTTCAGTGATGAAAATTCTTTCTTCTATATATGAACTGTGATCAACAGAGAGGAATGATGAAACAGATGAAGAATAAGAATAAGAAGAGTCTAATGTTCATCGCATGCGTCGGTGGTATACCGGTTAGGACGCTCACCGACCATGCACATGGTCCGGGTTTCGATCCCCAGTCGATGCACTCCTCTACCTCGCTAAGCTAGAAATAATCCTGGTAAAGACGAAACGTTGGGAATGAGGCTAGCAACCCCATCCTGTAAAAGTCAACACTGCTACAGAAACTTCAAGCCACTAGCTTGAAGCCCTATGTTCCACTGGGGAATGTGAAGGAAAGAAATGTTCATCGCACTGGATATAAAGAAGTGAAGATGAGTGCCAAGAAAAACAGAAGACGATTCTACGACACACTGTCAAATGGCGCACAAAATACAGAAGGTAAGAGAGAATTCAGAACTAGGTCATTATCGGAAAGGGAATTAACATAAATGAAACCAATGAAAGGTAGTGAACGGATCCTAATTACCAAAGGAAATAACAAGCTAATCCTTTAGGAAGACTCTTCAACCTATCACAATCGGAAACTCTGCCTTAAATACCAACAACAACCACAGGAAAACTGACAGTGAACAACAATACCCTCAAAAAACCTGGAGAATTGAATGTCACAAAGTTGCTAAGAGCAGGAAAGGTAGCAGAAACAGACAGAAATTCTCCGGAGACATTGAAAACGGATTCAGAGACCTCAGCAGATATCCGTATATCACTATTGCAGAAGGTTTTGAAGGAAAAAAGGGTATCTGCTGATTAGAAGATAGATAACCTTGTCAAACTACCTAAAAGGGGAAAATTAAGCCTTCGCATGAACCATTGCTGAATTATGCTTCTGTCTACACCGAGCGAACTGTTAAATCGCGTCATCCTGAAAAAGACTAAAACATGCTGTAGATATGAAACTCCATCCTTAGAAAAAGCAAATCACCTGCGAATCAAGTCGCAGCAGTAGGCATCATCGTGGAACAGGACATGAAATGGCACACCTCAATTTCATTGACTTTGGCACAGCCTTCGACAGTATTGAACACGAAGTAATTTGGAAACTGCTTCAACATCACTGATTACAGTTGTGGTAGTGTGATACAGAGGATGTCTGCCAACGGAATATTATTCTCACATATTCTCAGTTTAATACGGCATTAGCAACAGAATACGATATACCTTGGATTCTGTGTTTCACCTTCTGTTGTTACACTGTGATCAAAGACTTTATCAACCCAATTCAATAGCCATGTGAAGTAATCTACACCGAAAAGCTCACCAAAGCCTTGAAAGGAAGACAGGAGTGAGACAAAGCTTACTACTATCACCAACAACAGTGTCCTTGATTTTGGTCGAATGGATCATCAGTAACCTCATAAATGAGGAGTGAGAGGACAGTAATACGCTGTTCCGATCCAAAGAGTTTGGAAGACCTGATCTTTTTGGATAATTCGTGTTTATTCTCAGGTAATCTAGGTGATATGGAAACGAAAATCAACAAATTGGAAGAAGAAGAAGCAGAGATGACAAGACTGCAAGTGAACGCAGAGATGAGAGAGATGATGAAGATAGTCAACTGATAAATTGTAAGCACCAGTCACTGTCAATGGAAGAAACATGTAGGAGGTCACCTGTTTCAATTATCTAGGTGGAATTGTCTTAGTTGAAGTCAGAAGACATGGATGAAAAAGGAGAAGCCAACCATGGTCAGAAAAAGGGAAACATACCTGAGATTAGTGTGGAAAACTACTGCAGTCAGCATAGACAAGAAGATTCGAATATTCAACACTACTGTCAAACCAGTCACTGCTTCTATACGGTTTACAAGTCTGGCGCGCATCTCAGCAAAATCCTTTCCAACAGGTTACGCTTAATTTCCATAAATATCTGTCTTAAGCGTCTGATGGATAGAATGGATTAGCAGGAAACAAAGAACTCTGGCAATGAACAGATCAGTGACGTTTACCTGAACCAATATGCTTGAGTAAACGGATCAGACACACGCTGAGAAGACCGGTGATTGAAATCATGCTCCTTCCAAATATTTGGGTGGAATCTCAGTGGGAAACGACAATTCAGCATTTGGGTCCGAAAGTGACATAGAGAAGACAGTGTGAAGAGGAGATGAAAGCCTATGAGGAATCATCGAGCCAGTTGAAGAGGACTGAAGAGGACAGGATGAAGTTCTGTATTCCATTTGGAAACTAAGGGAATAGAAGTATTTAATGAATCGATGTATTACAGACATTATGGGGTTTATTAGAACATCTCATTGAGAGTCTAAGATAAGTCAGAAAGAAGCAATCAAAGTTACAGAATGGACATAATTATTAATGATCACGCTGAAGAAATATGCATTTCTCATTTCTAACCGACTGTAGACTTCCATCGACAACTGCCTCAATACTGAAGATTCGATGACAAGTTCAAAGGGATACGCAACAAGGAACTCTGGTCGTGTGCAGAAATAACAACCTACTACCCAGGAAAATGCAGAGGTTAATGGAGATGGATTGAGCATACTCTGCAAAGACAAAAAAGTGATGTCACACTCTAAGCCATTAAGTGGAGGTTGAGTGAAAAGCAACGACCTCGATGTGCGTTTAAAAATGACATGGAGGACACCATGTGAAGTACAAATGAAAGCTAGTGGACAGTCACCCAGTCAGCTGGAAGCGATGACAAAGAAACGAGTACAATGGAGACAGATGTCTCATTGAGGTCCAATAGTCCTCTCAGAACGGGAGGAATAAATCATAAGTATATATTCACAACTTCTGTCCCACACATGCCAAGCTAATAAAACGAATTTCGATATCTGATATTTTTTAAATGAACAGTGCGTCGGTGGCATACCGGTTAGGACGCTCACCGACCATGCACATGGTCCGGCGTTCGATCCCCAGTCGATGCACTCCTCTACCTCGCTAAGCCAGAAATAATCCTGGTAAAGAGGAAAGGTTGGGAATGAGGCTAGCAACTCCATCCTGTAAAAATCAACACTGCTACAGAAACTTCAAGCCACTAGCTTGAAGCCCTATGTTCCACTGCGAACGTGAAGGACAAAAAAACAAGACGACCATAATTAAAATAATGGCCAAGTTAAACTTTAAGTACCACTAAGTACCAGTGACCTTGCAAAACTCACTGAGCAAGTTAGTGAAACCTTGCAAGTAATGTTATCATCACCCGTTAAACACGCTCATCAAAGTATTAGATTATTAAATGGGATATATGGGAAGTTTCAGCTTAGATTTTGGGAAAGATTAAGTTACGGTTTAGGCCA